TGGAAAGCTGAGGCAGAAGGATTGCCAGAGCCCAGCGGGTTGACTGTTCTCTCTCAAACACTGGCAGGGATTTACTAGATAAGGTCGGCTCCTTTGCTTCCAGGAAGGGGAGGAAACCACATTCCTAAGGGCGGTGCAGAGAGAAAGAATGTGTCCTTTAAATCCAAGTGGCTTTCACATTCGGCTTAGCTCATCATGAAAGAAAATTTCTAAAATGAGTAAATAACTGAATGTCAGCTTGCTCCCATTTTTCATCCTTTTTTCTCTTTGTCCCCTGCTTACCTCTGCCCAACTACCTCACAATCTGTAGCAAATTTTTTCTAATTATGTAATTTGTAAACTCAAGAATGAAGATTAGAGTCCAGGGTTTGTGGCTTTTCAGCTCATTACGTTCTCATTTTTTAAAATTAACTAGACATTTTCTTTTAATAGCAATTTTAGGTTTATAGAAAAATTAAACAAAAATATAGAGAATTTTCATATTTCCCCCACACTCCATTTTCCTATTTTTAACATCTTTCATTAGTGTGGCACATCTGTTAAAATTGATGAAACAATATTGACACATTTTTTTTTTTTTTTTTTTTGAGTTGGAGTCTCACTCTGTCGCCCAGACTGGAGTGCAATAGCACACTGTCAGTCACCACAGCCTCAACATACTGGGCTCCTGCGATCCTTCCGCCTCAGCCTTCCAAGTAGCTGGAACTACAGGCGCGTGCTACCATGCCCAGCTAATCTTTTGATTTATTGTAGAGATGCCAAGTTGCCCAGGCAGGTCTCAAGCCCGCGGGCTCAGGCAATTCACTCACCTCAGCCTTCCAAAGCGCAGGATTACAGGCTGAGCCACCGAGCCCGGCGATATTGATACATTATTTAACTAAAGTTCATAGAGTTACATTAGGGTTCTCTCTCTGTGTTTTACATTCCAGGGGTTTTGACAAATGTATAATGGTATGTATCCCCAGTTATGATATCATACAGAATGGTTTCAGACTCTTAAAAATCTCCTCTGCTCCACTAGTTCATCCACCCCATCCTCTGTCCTCTCAACCTGGCAACCACTAGCCTCTTTATTCTTTTTAGTTTTACCTTTCTAGAATGTCATAGAGTTGGAATCATGTGGTATGTAGCATTTCAGATTTTTTTTTCACTTAGCAATATGTATTTGAAGTTCTGTCTGTCTATGTGTAGCTTGATAGCTCATTTATTTTCAATGCTGAATATGTCACTGGATGGATTTGGCACCGTTTGTTTATCCATTCGTCTGCTGAAGGACATCTGGATTACTTGAAAAGGTTCGCAGTCATAAATGAAGTTGTTACAGACATCTGTGTGCAAGTTTTTGTGTGAATCATTTGAGTAAATACTAAGAAGCTCAATTGCTGTGTATATGGTAAATGTATATTTCGTTTTGTAGGAAACTTTCCAACTGGTATTCCAGAATGGATTTGCCATTTTACCTTCCTATCAGCAATGAATGAGACTTCTTGTTGCTCCATGTTATCATCTATATTAAGTGTCTTCAGTGATTATATTTTAGTCACTATGATAGGTGTATAGTGATATCTCATTGTTTTAATGTACAATTCTATAATGACATGATGTTGAATGTCTTTCATGTCTATCTTTTTTTTTTTTTTTTGGTGAAATGTCTGTTCAGATTGTTTGCTCATTTGAAAATTGAGTTATTTGGTTTTTTGCTATCATCCACTTACTTTTACCCTACTTGTAACTTCAAGTTTAAGATGTTTCCTTTAAATAGCTCATACTTAGATCTTGCTGTTTTTGTATTAATAATTTTTGTACTTTAATATGGTTAGTCTATTAACATTTATTATCATCATTAATATGGTTAGATTTAACTCTTCTAAATTGTTTTCTGTTTATTTCCTCTGATTTTGGTTCTACAGGTTTTCCTTTCCAAAAAATTATTTGATTTCTTAAGTCATCGAATTTGTTATACTTTGGCTTTTTAGATGTGTCTTTTGAATTTTTTTCAGTGAGTCCTCAAGGAATGACAATGTACATCCCTAACATTTCATAGTCAACTTCATGATAATGTTGTACCACTTGTTAAAATTAGAAACTTTGTATTTATTCCTTTTCTATTGCCCTTTAGGTTATAGTTGTCAGATGTGATAACCCATTAGATAATACTGTAAATTTTGCTCTACACACATTAAGTATTTTAAAGAAATTAAGAGGAAATTGATATCATATGCATATCACTAAAATAGTAATCATTTCTATACTCTGACTTCTAAAGTTCGAAATTTCCCTCTGGTATCATTTTCCTAATCCTAAATAATTTTCTTACACTTTTCTTGTACTGGTGGCAAAACATTTTTTTAGATTTTTTGTTTTTTTAAAGTTCTGTATTTTGCCTACTTTTTGAAGGATATTTTTACTAGATATAAATTTCTGGTTTCATAGTTTTTTGTTTTCTCTTTCATTCTAAATTTTCAGCTGTTTTTCTTTTTTTTGAGTTGGAGTCTCACTCTGTTGCCCAGACTGGAGTGCAGTGGCCGCTCCCGGCCACCGCAGCCTCGACCTTGCTGGGCTCTGGCGATCCTTCCGCCTCGGCCTTCCATGTAGCCGGAATTACAGGCATGCGCTACCACGCCCGGCTGATTTTTTGATTTATTGTAGAGATGAGGTCTCGCCAAGTTGGCCGGGCGGGTCTCGAACCCGCGGGCTCAGGCCATCCACTCACCTCGGCCTCCCAAAGTGCTGAGATTACAGGCTGAGCCACCGAGACCGGCCTTTAATTTATTTTTAGAACTACTGTCTATTACTTTTGCTGGATTGTTCTTTTTAAATATTTTTTATTACCTTATTATATAGTTCTAGTAGCCGCTTTAGATTCTTGTCTGATAATTCTAACATCTCAGACTGTCTAGAAGCTACCATCTATTGGTTATTATTTTGTTTGTTTTCATTGAAAATAGGTTACCTGACCAGGCTCGGTGACTCAGCCTGTAATCCCAGCACTTTGGGAGGCTGAGGTGAGTGGATTGCCTGAGCCCGCGGGTTCGAGACCCGCCCGGCCAACTTGGCGAGACCTCATCTCTACAATAAATCAAAAAATCATCCGGGCGTGGTAGCAGGTGCCTGTGGTTCCAGCTACTCGGAAGGCTGAGGCGGAAGGATCGCCGGGGCCCAGCAGGTCGAGGTGGTGGCCGGGAGCGGCCGCTGAACTCCGGTCTGGGCGACAGAGCAAGACTCCAACTCAAAAAAAAAAAAGAAAATAGGTTACCTTTTTCTGGCACTTTATATATTGAGTAATATTGCACTGTATTTTGTATATAATATTAAGTGGTGGAGCCTTGGATTCTCTTGCATTTTTCCAAAGAACGTTTATGTTCTTGTTTTAGCAGGTAGTTTGGTTCAACTCAAAATAAGCAAACGTTATGACCCTGAAATTGGCAGTGGCTCAAATATCAGTTAATGGTGTTTATTCTTTCCAAGGCAAGCATTGCTCAGGAGTCAGACAGCAATGTATAAATTTATATACAGAATTTGTGATTTATTTTCTCTACCTCTCCCTTTTCCTGTCTCTGGCGGCTGGCTCTGATTGTCCCAGCCTCAATTCCTTAATAGCATTATTGTACTAATCATGATTTTTTTGATATCTGTGAGATGCTTATTGTCCACATAAGCCCCACTGGTTTATACTATTCATCGACTTTCATGTAACTTAAAGTTACTTTTTTATTTTGGTCTGCTGTATAAAATAGCATATACTAGGTAGGTTAGAAACAACAGAAATTTATTTCTCACAGTCCTGGAGACTGAAATCCGAGATCAAGGAGCTGGTAGAGTCAGTGTCTAGTGAGGATCTGCTTCGTGGATAACGGATGCTTGTCTTCTTATCACGTCCTTACATGACTGAAGGGGCAAGGGAGCTCTTTGGGGTCTTTTTATGAGGGCACTAATGTCATAAAGGTCTCATCTCCTAGTACTGCAATGGAGGTTAGGATTTCAATATGTGTATTTTGGAAGGACACAAGCATTCAGTCTATAGCAGTGATGAACCGTCAATAATAGCTTCTCCTTTGGATAAACATTTGGATAATCAATCTTTTATATTTACTTGTAATTTTTTTCCCCACCCCTACTTGTATTTTTTAATCTTCCTTTTCTAAATAGAATTTTCTATGATGATTGACAGTTTCTGCATCTCCACTGTCTAATATGGCAGCCACTGGTCATGTGCAGCTTTAAGCACTTGAAATGTGGCTAGTATGATTGAGTAGTGAAATTATTAATTTTAGTTAATTTAAACAGCATTATGTATTTAGTGGTTGCTATATAGAAGTGTTGCTGTAGAGCCCCTTTGTACTTCCTTTATAAAAATGAATTAGCTACTATGTGACATTTATCTAATAACATACCTTGATTTATTCAATTAATTAAATTATTTGTGGGGTGACTACTATGTGTAAGGTTTCATGTAAAAGATGATTTTAATTCCTTTTCCGAGTCTTAGCATTTATTTTATAAAATTTAAAAAATATTTTATCTTATTTGAGAATTCCTTATCTCTTTAAATACATATACACTCAAAGTCAAAATTATTTTTCTTTTACTGTTACCTAAAAAAGTAAAATAATATGTAGAGTCATGGTATTTGTTTTTCCTTTACGTATCTTTTTAAGTAGGTTAGTATTACATGTCAATATTTTTTCATCCATGGGGATTTCTGTTTTAAACTCTTAGTTGTGCTACATATCTGGAGGCGTCTGACTCACAGAATTTTCTGGGAAAATTATTTTTAAGCTTGTGTAATTCCTGCTTATTTTCTAAGAGCTGGTAATTATCTCTGATTGAATTTGGTGCCATTGTCCATTTTTATAGAAATAATGTGCCCTTAAAAATAAGTCCTTATAATAAATCATTTTTTATGTTTAATTATCATCTGTGGATGTGACCAAACTGATTGCTTATATATCATACAAATTTTAATTTATCTCATAATGTTTTGATTTTGATCATTTCAGGATCACCAAACAATTTTGAGAGCATGGGCTGTGAAAGATTTTGCTCCAAATTGTCCTTTGTATGTCCAGATACTAAAGCCTGAAAATAAATTCCATATCAAATTTGCTGGTAAGTTTTTATCTTGAATGATATGCGGTGAATTTCTTTACATTCCCATTGTTATTTAAGACTTATGTCTCTGAATTTAGTGACAACTTAATATATTCAAGATTCTATAGAACAGTAAAGAATATTTAAGAATTGTTTACTTGTTATAAAATGATTTCTTCACTTAAGTATGTGACAATATTTTTAGTTGAGTCTTTACTATTTATGTAACTTGGTGATTTTAGCAGTTGAACTTACTGAACACTTTAGTAAGCCTATATAGTGTAGCAGTGGTAGATTTTGTGCATAAGATAGGCACAAGTTTCAAATGCTGTATCTATTCTTTTGTACTTAAGTTTACACACAGATAATACTTGGGTACAGATTATTTAATACACATATAAGTTTACCATGCAATAGACTAGAGTATTAAAAATTTATATTTAAATAGATTTAACTTGGGGGTAGGTTTAAATTTAATGATAATTCAATGAAAAGATACATGTGAGGTTTTCTTTTGGAGGCACTGCTTTTAAAAATTATTGATCACATGAGATTTTGCTTTGAGCTGTTAGGAAATTGATTGGTAAAATGCTATTTGATTATTTTCTTAAATGTTTCTGTAGGAGAAAAGAACTAATTTTGATTTGATTTGAATTAGTTCCTTTCTCCTACAGAAGCATTTAAGACTTTGTGGTGTTTTATATTATATTCTTTGTCTAAAGTCTTAAAGTTATTAAAATGAAATTCATTTTAGCAATATGTCAGCAAAACATTTTCTTCAGGTGTATTCACATATCTTAAAATACTTACCTATTAATATATGATATTGATGAAAAATTGTAAATACTAAGAACTTTTAAAGTAATGATAAGAAAATTTTCAAGTAGTTGCTATTCAGTTTGCTCTGTCATATCTTTACCCTTTCCACAAATGACATCATCAACCTTTTTTTTTTCTAAAATTGTACAGCAAACAACTTAAAGTAATGGCTCTCAACTTTGGCTGCACATGAGAATATCTTTGCAAGAATTTTCAAAGTACTGATCACTGAGATTCTGATTTCTATAGTCTGAAATCGTGCCAGGACTTCTCTAAACCTACCTCCTAAACTGAAAATTGAGAATCAGTATCAGCCGGGCTCGGTGTATCAGCCTGTAATCCCGCGCTTTGGGAGGCTGAGGTTAGTGGATTGCCTGAGCCCACATGTTCGAGACTCGCCCGGGCAACTTGGCGAGACCTCCTCTCTACAATAAATACAAAAAAACTCACCGTGCGTGGTAGCGCGCGCCTGTAGTTCCAGCTACTTGGAAGGCGGAGGCAGAAGGATCGCTGGCGCCCAGCAGGCGAGGCTGCGGTGGCCGGAGCGGCCACTGCACTCCAGTCTGGGTGACAGAGTGAGACTCCGACTCAAGAAAAAAAAAAAAGAATCAGGGTATCTCTTTCGTAGAAGACTTTGTGAATTTAAGTGGAAAAATACATATAAATACTTCCATCTACCACTTGCTACATACACAATTAACATTCATTAAATGCCATTTGTTTATCTGAAAGCCCGTGTAACTAAGCAGTCTTATTTTTTTATTTTTATTGTTTAGCAAGAGAATATTTTTTGAACAATTCTTAATTGTATCCAACAAAGATTTGCTGTGAAATAATTTTTGAATGACAGTAATGACATGAGCACTCGATAAGTTTCCAAAACTATGACTTTAAATTTGAGTGCTGCCATTTAAGAAAGGCAGATTTGTGTTTTGAGCTCTTTTTTATTTCTCTATTAGAAGGTCATAATATATATGTGATGTCATTCCATTAGGGTTAGCAGTAAAGATTAAATAAATAATGTCTGAAATATATTGGTCTTCTATAAATGGGTATTTTATCTGGATTTTAAATATATATAGTTTGCAAAGACAGTTTGTAATTTTGTCTGTGTCATATTAAAATTAAAAACAGTTCGAGACCGGCCTGGGCAACTGGGCGAGGCCGCATCTCCACAACAGATCAAAAACTAGCTGGGCGTGGTGGCGAGAGCCTCTAGTTCCGGCTACTGGGAAGGCTGAGGCGGAAGGATCGCCGGAGCCCGGCAGGTCGAGGCTGCGGGGGCCGGGAGCAGCCGCTGCCCTCCGGTCTGGGTGACAGAGTGAGACTCCGACTCAAAAAAAAAAAAAAAAAAAAGAAAGAAAATAGTGGTTATGTCACTAATCTTTATGGTTGTTATGTAGCAATAGATAACTAATACTGTTTGTGATAAAATAATAATTGCTTAGCATAAAATATTTACTTGATAATATTCATATCTTGTCTTTGTATTCTCATGATTATTACATAAGCAGATTCCAACTTTTACAAGATATAAAATTAAATATTTTTATTTCCATGTGTTTAAGTAGCCCCTTCAATTTACCCTAAGTTGTAGAAATTCTAGTATGAATATAATTTGTGCACTTAAAAAAAGTAAATACATTATTAAAAGAAGCACAAAACAGGAAAACTTAAGGATTCAATTTATAAATATATGAAATATTGGAAATATAAGAAAGCAAAAAAAATGGTAGCAACCTAGCAACTAATACTTTATGCAGATCAACCGTTCATATCTTCCTCTTGAACAAATTGACTTTTATTAAGGTGAATTATTGAATTATTACACTTGAATTATATTCATTACTACACTATTAATTATATTTAAGTTATTCTACACTTTGATCAGATCCAAAGGGAACGAATCTGGAGGTGATTTCAGGAATAAATATACTCATATCACCAAATGAGGAAGTTAAAAATAAATGTGCCATCATTTGTGGCCATACCACTTTGAACACGCCTGATCTTCTCTAAAAATATATGATTTAGAGATAGAAAGAATAAAATGCTAAGTAAAATAATAGTTATGATAAAAGATTTCTGAATGTAAATTTAACTTTACTTCAAATTATAGTGAGATTCAGGTAACAAAACTATAATTCACAAATAAATGGATTATTTTATCACCACAGATTTCCAAACAAGAAACTCAAATGCTGCTCATAAAGAAAATTTACTTTCAATAATTGGCCTTTTATAATAAGTTTGTCAAAGTAAAATGGTTAAAACGGAAAAGTTTTGAATAAGACTTTCTGGGGTGAAACATTTGTTCTACTGTGTATTAACAGCTGACCTCAAGCCTCTCTGTGTCTCTTATCTTGAGTTTTTCAACTTCTAAAATTAGGATAAGAGAAACTACCCCCAATAGTGCTTTTGTAATTTTAAAAATGCCCAGAAGAAAATCAGCCACCAGCAAATGATACCTATCAAAGTGATTGTTATTATTTATATCTTGAGTGCCTAGTTCTTTTTTTCTTTTTTTCTTTTTTTTGAGTCGGAGGCTCACTCCGTCGCCCAGACTGGAATGTAGTGGCCGCTCCCGGCCCCGCAGCCTGGACCTGCCGGGCCCCGGCGATCCTCCCGCCTCAGCCTTCCGAGTAGCCGGAACTAGAGGCTCTCGCCACCACGCCCGGCTAGTTTTTGATCTGTTGTAGAGATGCGGCCTCGCCAATTTGCCCAGGCGGGTCTCGAACCCGCGGGCTCAGGCCATCCGCTCACCTCGGCCTCCCAAAGGTGCCGGATTACAGGCTGAGCCACCGAGCCCGGTGAGTGCCTATTTCGAATCTCCTTAACTAATTTGTATTATACTGGTTTCCAAGAAAAGTAAATGGGCTTTTCCATGATGTTTTACAAATGCCTTATTACAGAAATTCAAAAAGCGCATAATTCCTAACTACATATCTTCTCAGAGAGTGAAAAATGAAAGGCAGCTCCTTAACTCACTATACGGGACTAACATAGCCTTGGCACAAAACTCATTAAGGATATTTTAGAAATGACATTTAAAGACTGATTTAATTGATTAGCATAATTGGAAAATTAAATAAAATATATTAGCAAAACAATCAAGTATCATATTTATAAAAGAATATGTAGTCACCATGCTGAATTCCAGAAAGAGTTTATCATGTTGAAGGAGAATAGTCATATCATCATTTCAACGGATACAGAAAAAGTATTTTAGAGAGAATACAGCAATTTACTATTTATTTATTTATTTATTTATTTTTGAGTCGGAGTCTCACTCCGTCGCCCAGACCGGAGCGCAGCGGCCGCTCCCGGCCCCGCAGCCTCGACCTGCCGGGCTCCGGCGATCCTCCCGCCTCCGCCTTCCCAGTAGCGGGAACCACAGGCGCGCGCTGCCACGCCCGGCTGATTTTTGATTTATTGTAGAGATGAGGTCTCGCTGCCCAGGCGGGTCTCGAACCCGCGGGCTCAGGCCATCCACTCACCTCAGCCTCCCAAAGGCGCGGGATGACAGGCTGAGCCACTGAGTGCGGCACAATTTACAATTTAAAAAAAAAAATTTTTGGAATGCTAGGATCGAAAATTCTTTAACCTAAATCACATTATCTTCAATAATGCTTAAAGAAAAAGATATTTAATGATCACACACAAACATGTATTTCTACTAAAACCACTTTGATTTTTTTTCTTGGAAATTCTAAAGATTGTGGTAAAGCTGGAAAAATAAATAAAGAGAATAAGTATTGGATTGTGAGAAATGAAATTGCCACTGGCAACATATCATTAGATTAAGAGTTTTATTTTCTTCCTATATGGCTTTTCGTTAGGGGATCTCATCTATTTATACGATTTCTAAAATTAAATCTCTTCTTCAATATTTGCTATCATCTTCAATCGTGTATCTCCAACTGTATAGTCAATATCTCTGATTAAGTTTCTAACAGCCACCTCAAAATTAAGATGTCTAAAAATATTTATTGATTTTGCCTGATCAGTTTCTCACCCATTACTCCCAGGACCATCTACGTAGAGCTCAAGCACAAACCTATGAGTCATTCTTTCATTTCCTGCATCCAATCTATCATCATGTCCTGAATATCTCAGCCTAATACTCTGTCACAAGACAACCCTAGCCCATGCCATGATCATCTTTCACTTAGACTGTTTCAAAACTCTCTTTTCATCCT